ATATATATTAAACAAAAATGTGAAAAATACTTTTCCATATTTGGATTGTGTTTACGTGTAGATCTATGTACTTTGTGGGAATAGAGTAGGAACTAGGAAAAAGTATAACTGACAAAATGACCTTAAATGATCGTTATCTCTATTGACTAGTATTGATACACTTAAGATCATTTAGGAAGCAGTCTGCTTCCACCTGGGCTTGGGAGGGGGGGGGCACAGCATGAGCATCACAAAACCAGAGACACTCAATAAAATAAATTACCCCAGTCAAGAATCGAACTCCTGTCTTTCATTTTCATATGCAAGGCGGAGAGCCTAAACATGTATCGCCGGTAAGTTTAAGGGATGGGGAAAATAGCGTTTGTTGGTTTGTTTTGTTTGAGTAAAGAGATGTACTTTGACAAAATATTGGTCATTTCGGGATGGGAGTAAGATAGACAGACAGACTGACAGTCAAAAACAGAGGGAAAGTAAAGTAGGACCTACCAGTGGTGCCCTCTAACCACACGTGAGAAATAGTATAAGGGAGGAGTGGGAGGGGGGGGGGGCTGTCATTTTGAACTGATTTTATGTGAAAAGTGGGCATTACAAAGAAGAAAGAGTCATTTCAGAGGTGGGGACGCTCTTGACCCATGCTCTTTCGGTTCGTTCGTTCGTTCGTCCGTTCGTTCGTCGGTTCGTTCGTTCGTTTGTTTGTTGTTGAGATGTGGTGGCCTTGTCGGTCGGAAGGCTCACATTCTCGCCAGTTGCCGACGAATGTTAAAAAAAAAACGCCAGGGGAAAGTAGAAACGCAAACATACCTGAGGTGTCTCAGCATTCGGATTTGTTGCAGTGTAAAACAAATAAAACAAAACAAAACTGCAACTGTAAAACAATCGAACAACTAAAAAAAACACGTACAAACCTCACTCTTGCTGGACATGTCTCAACCGCTTCGTGAGACTTGTTTTAGTTTTAGCGTAGGCAGATACTATATAGGTTGCACCTTGATGAAATCGGGCGTTCGTCAAAATAATGGAATGGAAGATACGGACATTTTCTGGCTGTTGGGCAATTTATACACATACACACTCTCTCTCTCACACACACACACATGCATATAATACCCACACACACACA